TATTTGATTCTTCATACGATAACTTTCTTGTGGTTTGAATGATTCTTCATCTTCATACAGTTAATATATTGCACATTGGCAGCACTATTTTATAACTGGGACAGGGCTCTCAGTTCGTTCTTGTGGGCGCGGTTTAGATTTCAAATGCCATTACTATATTTGAACCTACATTTGCTAATGAGTGGAGAATATCATATAGGCATGTAGCCTTCTGCTTGCTTCATCTGCTGGATCCTGCTTTTACCATTTGTATGGGTCCATGCCCTAATACGTGGACATGCAACACTCTACTCAGTCCTGATAACTGTCCCCTTTCTTGTTATATGAAGTTCCAGATGCTATTTTGGTTACACAGAAGTGTAGAATAGAAATTAGAATTATGGAAATCGCTGATAGATCTGTTTACTTGTGAACATTTGTTTCTGACTTTTCACATATGCTTCTGATATGTCTTATGTCTTTATGAGTAACTGATGAGCTCATGGGCTGTAATGCTTACTTAAATCAAAATGGCCTATGGCTAAGCTTCCTTTTGCTCACTCCTGTTGTTGATCTTTGTTGTAGGGTGTTTATGGGTACCCTATTGAGATTCAAGCCCTGTTCTTTATGGCACTAAGGTGTGCTCTTCAATTGCTTAAGCATGATAACGAAGGGAAAGAGTTTGTAGAGAGGATTGCAACTCGTCTTCACGCTCTAAGTTATCACATGCGGAGTTACTATTGGCTTGATTTCCAGCAGCTAAATGATATTTATCGCTATAAGACAGAGGAATATTCCCACACTGCTGTCAACAAATTCAATGTCATCCCAGATTCTATTCCGGATTGGTTATTTGATTTTATGCCTTGCCAGGGTGGTTTTTTCATTGGTAATGTTAGTCCTGCAAGGATGGACTTCCGGTGGTTTGCACTTGGAAACATGATTGCTATACTATCATCCCTTGCTACACCTGAGCAATCAACGGCCATAATGGATCTCATTGAGGAGCGATGGGAAGAGCTTATTGGTGAAATGCCTCTGAAGATATGCTACCCTGCTATTGAGAATCACGAATGGCGTATTGTGACAGGCTGTGATCCGAAGAATACTAGATGGAGTTACCACAATGGAGGATCTTGGCCAGGTTAGAAGGTTTTCTTATTATTTAAATCTCTCTTAAATATTACAGTTTTTAGTCGCAAAAATGTTATCATGCTTCCCTTTTATCATTATGTGATTTGGACGCTGAATTAAACCAATTGATAACCATATACCATCTTTCGGTGATTAGTGAAGGACCATATACATTTGTGCCCAAGATTTCTGTTTATGAGCTATGGCCTTAAATGAAATTTTTATGTGCTGAGAAGAGCAATGTTTATTAAATTTGATGCCTTCTCTTTTTTCCTCACGGAGTCACGGTACATGTGCCCATGAAACCTACGTATAAACATATAACATCACATTATATCTCTTCTGATTTTCTGTGTTATTTGTACTACAAACGGATAGCATGACATTGAGTAACTTCAACATGTTATAACTTTAACACAATTTTTCCCATTCTTTCTGCAGTACTACTATGGCTGCTCACAGCAGCCTGCATCAAGACTGGCCGGCCACAAATTGCAAGGCGTGCAATTGACTTAGCTGAGAGAAGGCTGTTGAAGGATGGTTGGCCAGAGTACTATGATGGGAAGCTTGGGCGGTATGTCGGCAAGCAGGCAAGGAAATTCCAGACTTGGTCTATCGCAGGGTATTTGGTCGCCAAGATGATGCTTGAGGACCCTTCTCATCTCGGAATGATATCACTAGAGGAGGATAAGGCAATGAAGCCTGTTTTGAAGAGGTCTGCCTCATGGACAAACTAAGATGTCGACGAAAATTTTTAGGGAAGCAAAGTCAGTTTGGGAACAAAAATTCTTTTGGTAGCTCTTCTCTGCTCATCCCTCCGTTTGACTTTTCGAACCGGAAAGGTTTGTTTCATCTGGATTTCCCGGTTGTACAATATGTCAGCCCATTTCTTAGCTAAAAAGAAGCAATTGCGGAAATGGGTGTTTTGGTTTCAATCCCTGCTTGTAAGAAGATTCCTGCTTTGGGTCAAAAATCTTAAAGCTGATTCCAGTTTCCTGGTCTTTTGATGGAGAGAAGTGCTACTCTAACGAATAATAAAAGCTCATTTTTCTGCAGTGCCTCCTATCCAGAGGGTTCGTTAACTTGCTGCCTGAGAAGGGCAAGTCATACAAACTGTGTGCCTTGTATGTTTCTTCCTCTTTTCGTTCTCTTACAAAATTGAAGTTGTACTTGTGTTCAAGGAAAGATCTTGGCAAAAGCTTTTCCCTGGTCCCCTGGTTGGATATCACAGTATCTTGGGTTCTTGAGACATTGTTGGAACATGCTTGCTAGTTTGTGCAAGCAAGTGATAATAATTCATTTGGAGTTATCTCAACGACTTTATCTTCGAAAGTTGCAAAGTTTCTCTGCTCATTACATTTTCTTTGCTTACGCTATCCTTAACTGAGCCATCTCTTAATGAGAAAATCCAAAAAATGCTATTGATAATAAGAGTTCAAATTCCAGAAATAACATTAACAAGTACGGGTTTTATGAGATACATCGTGCAATTGACTTTGTTGTTATAGAAATCCGTTAGGATTTCGATCGTAGCTCTCCATCAAGTGCTATGAGATAAATACTGCATTTAACGGTGATGGATGAAATCTTAACGGTGATGACTTTCTAGGATAAATCGCTTGTACGATGGTATTTTATGGTATTCACACTTTGTCGATGATATTTCTTAGATTTAGGTGTTTGTCAATAATATTTCTTGGTTTTTCTCTGAATAGATACTACTTTCGTTTCACAATGTAAGACTTTCTAGCATTGCCCATATTTATTTAAATGATAATGAATCTAGACATATGTATGCGTTTAGATTATTAACATTTATATGTATGTGTGTAATGGAAAATTTTTTGAAATTAATCGTGTTCTTGACCGGAATTGCAAGATTAAGCTGATTAAGGGCGGATTTGCGGAAATATACCGGCGTAGCGGTTTGAAACAGCGATAGCGCGATATCGCGTAATGCGTGCGCAAAAGCGGCGGGCTATCGCTAATTGGGAGTGAGGGAGCGCTAATGCATCGGTCTCGCGGTCCTAAAGCGCGAGAACGAGGTGGTGTCGCGCTTTTGTAAAGCAATAGCGCGGTCTGTATGATGCCGCCTGACGCACGCGGGACACGAAGCGGTCTCGCGCTTCGAGTGCGCGATAGCGCGTGCGGTATCGCGGTCGGGCTGCGCGAGACCATAGCAGCATGGGCCGACTGACGCCTGTGGGGTCCGAGGAATGACCGGAGCGGTCTCGCGCTACCGTTTAGCGAGAGCGAGTCGGTCTCATGCGAGAGCGCCGGCGGTATCGCTCATTGAAAGCGCGATACTGTTGACGCGTGGTCCACGCCCCTAATCCATCTGCTAATCCTGGGAGGTGGCAGTGCGACAGGGACGGCTTCGGTCTCGCTTTTTGAAAGAGCGAGACCGCAAGCGATATCGCTCTCCCCGTGCGCAAGAGCGATTAGCTAATTACGTTTTGCAAATCGCTAATATTTCATGTCACCGTTGGTACGTACTCCCTCCGTCCCATAAAAAACCAAACTAGTACTAGCTTTGTTTTTTTTTGGAGTGAAAAAGTAAAAAGTATATTTTTTTCCCTCCGTCCTAAAAAAACCAGCGTAGTACTAGATTCGTTTTTTCAGGATGGAGGGAGTAGAAAGGATAATTTTTTTTCATAATTTTTTTATTATGTGTGCAACATATATATACATAAATGAACATGAGAAACAAGTTTATATTGAAAATAGGCAAAGATTGTGTACGCGGCTACGAGAAGAAAGATAAATATCTTGGAATTTGCAAAATAATGATATCAGAGAAAGAAACAATATATTACCTATAGAAAAATAGAAATTGAATATATATTTATTAAGAATATATAAAGGAGTAGAGAGATCATTCGGGAGCAATTTTTACAAAGTTAATAAAGAATAGGAATTTAGAATATGTCATATTCACAGAGAAAACCACCTTTGCATATTCACAGGCTCGGTCTTGTGACAAGAACCGCGTAGCGAGTTAACGAACTACTCAGTTCTTGCTACAAGATCGGGTCTAAGAATATGCAACACCGAGTTTATGAATTTGCAGGAGTAGGTCATATTCACAAACGGATGCTAGAACTTGAAAAAAAGAGTGGGTGTAAGAATGTAGTAAAAAAATCATATTTGTATATTCACAGACTCGATCTTGGGACAGGAACCGAATAGTGGGTGAACGAACAACATAGAGCGAGTTCACGAACTACTCAGTTCCTGCCTCAAGATCGGGCCTAAGAATATGCAAGACGAAGTTAGAACCAGCAGAACGTTTATGAAGAAGAGATGTAGTTGTGTGCTAGTTTTGGTTGTTATTCATAGGGGATGGCAAGAAGCTGCACAGTTTCAATTATTAGAAAGAGACGACGGCGCGTCGGACTGCTTCACTAATCAATTCAATAGCGCCAGATTGTTTCACTCGTGATGACAATAATTGCAAAGCGACACCGTCACTTTTGGCAGCACATGCTGCATAACTGTTTGCTTTATTAATTACAAAGCGACGAAGTCACTTTCGGCATAGCGCAGCGGAATCTTGAAAGTTTAATTGTGTATGATTTGATGCTCTGGCGCATGTCCCGTGATTGGAAAGAGAGGATGCCATTATAGGTGCGTATCATTGCATCTCTGTGAAAAGAAATTAGTGGGCAATTTAAGTCATAGTAGTAAAAAGTAAAAGTAATATGCAATTTTAACCACACGAGTAACATTGAAACTGCACTATTAATTTAGTTTGTGAGACTATTATTTTTGTTAGCTCTCGTACGAAAAATTAATAGCTAACCAAAAATCATATGTGTTAACTAGCTACAAAATAGGGCATAAAAATGTGAGATATTTATGAACTACGAAACATCGTACATAACATGAAGAATAAGCAGTACAAATAAATAATGTTCATTGCAGTACAAATAACATGAAGAATAAGCCAAAATCACAGCAAGGTTCAGATAGGGTTGCCAGTGAACTGAAAGACATAATGTTCAGTTCTACTCGTCATCATCGTCATGGTCAGTCGTAGTCCTAGATGTTTCACCTCGCTTTTTTGTAGTTTTTTTCCTTTGTCCTGCGGCATGTCGAGGGCCTGAGAGTGACATACGGTTTGGCTCATGGCGCTCACGGTTAGATCTACGCGGGTCATTGTCATTTCCTTCGCCAACCTCTGGTTGTGTGGCCTATGTCACAGGGGGCGCATCATCAGTTTGTGAAGTCTGAGGCTCATTGGGTACCGGTGACGACCCTCCACCGAAGCTGGACATGTCGCCGTACGATGCAGTGTAAGGCCTAAACCCTGACATTGGTTCAGGGCGAAATGACCCTACAGAAGCAATGTAGATATCAAAGAAATTATCAAAGCTGGAGCAAACAACAATAACATAAAAAAAATCCAAACCTGTTGACGGTGCTTGCATATATGGAATTTCATTAGGATGCGAGGAATATTGACCAAATAGCCAATCACCTTGTTGCAACAAGTCCATATAACCCTGTACTCCACCATCAAACGACGTGCTTTGCATCCATATAAAATGTCACGGAGTTATTGTCTTAAGTTGAAGTGGGAGTCATGTAAGGTATGAAAGTGCCATCGATATATGTGTATGGAGAATGATGGCTGTGTGTACCATCGTAATCCATGGATTGTCCTTGCCATGAGTTGGTGCCATATGTAGGTGGATGCAGTGGAACCGACTGAGTAGGCCCTGTTAATATCAGGAAGTAAATAGTCAATAAGATTCATATACATGAAAATTTAATAAATTAAAATAATAAAAATATGAAATTAGAGTAAGGGGAGACTGACCGCCTAACGACGTAAACCCTCCTTGACCGATAAAATCTGCAGACAATTGGGGTATGGTAGGGATACCTTGGCTAGTCCCTGTATGTGCAATTAATTAACAAAAGTAAAATTACGAGTGGACATATGCATGCCAATATGGTACTGAATGTACACGGACCTGCAAAAGGTGCAAATCCTCCTTGCCAGTGTGAGGTTGGCACATCGGGAGCCATTTGAGGAATCATTTGTGGCCTTGCAGGAGGCATATGAGGCACGGGACAGACCATTCACGTTCCCTCTGTCATCAATTGGAAAACATCATTTAGTAATTTCACATAAACAATTGGGGAAAAAATTAGCATAATGATGAGCTATCCCGTACCAGTAAACGACGCAAACCCACCCTGCCATTGAGAGGTGATGGGCGTAGAGCTATGTGGGGGTACCTGTTCCGGTTGTGCTGCGAAAAAATAAATTAGTCTTTAATATAAATGACATTTATTTTAGCATTCTGCAATAACGTATTTTACCTTGAGTTGTACCAAAGCCTCCTAGGCGTTCCGAAATTTCAGCGATTTCTGGGATAGTCGGAATAGGTGTGGCTCACGAAACGAAGTTGACCTTACTCCTGCACAACCATCACTGGATCGTCGCGCGGAGGCTGAAGGGCGGGCTGAGGTGGACGGCCGGGAAGAGGTAGAGGGACGCTCCGGCATTGTCTCGAACGTCCTTCTTGATGTTGCCGGAGTATAGACGTCCGAGGAATGTCGGCACGATGCGAGCCGCATGATTCGCTTTCCTTTTCGACGGAGGGAGTCAACCGCGGCCATAACTTCCTGGTTGGTACCCGCCATTCCATCTCTAAGCTTCTTCCACAATGTTTTCGCATCCCTTTTTAATTCCCCTGCAATGTCGGTCTGCATGGAGCGTAGCAACAATGTTAGAAAGTGGAACCCCATGTATAAGGACACACCGATGCAACGAAATATTTAAATGGTAGTAGTATCGTCAAGTGAGTGGAGGGTGCTAGCTGCATATCATATATTTGATCAATTGTTGGTGGACCTCGCTTGTCGGGATCCTTGGGTGCAAGCAGCCGGATGCGAGTCTGCGATGAGTACCAGGCCATGTATAGTTCGTAATTGTTGTGGTCGTATGCCCTGGTCTCCTGGACGACATCATTCAAGGCCTGTGACCATGCCTCTATCCATGGGGTCATCCTTGAGTGCATAGATCGATGATACTTGCTGTCAGCTTGCCTCTTTTGCCTGCAACAAAAATATAACAATTAGTTGTTAGTTATATCTGACAATTTTTAGTGCACAGAAATTAGACAGGATTGAAATAACAACATACATGTGCACATCTGGTGGAAGGTGAAGTCCAACAGGAATTGGGACTTGTTGGTACAGTCCCATCTGACGCATTACCCTTGAACATTATACCCCTCGACGAATATGTCGTACACCAGCATTTTTTGTGTCATCCAGTACGGTTCATCGCGGTAGCATAAGATGCTTACTCCATGTGGTGCACGCAAAATGGCCTCTTCGTTCGTGTACGGAGTCCACCGAACTTTGTTTTCCCTAAGGCTTTCGAACGCCTCGGTAAAGTACTCGTACACATTGTGCACCTGGATTCTCGCCCACTATGGCTGCACGATCAGAGATTGTAGATTTAGTTATGCAATTTCATTGAAATGACAGAAATATTCCTTTAATGCAAGCATGCGTACCAGTCCGTAGCACCAGCGAGTACCGAAGGTAGGACGATCATCAACTGCGTCAGTGTAATCGTCCTTGTGGGCCACGGCCACGCTCATGTATGGACGTTCGAACGAGAAGCGCTCGTACGACCACAACATGACCAAAAGTGGACACCTCGTGAAAATTGCCTCCCTTTGTCCGGTCTTAATACAAGCGTCGCAGAATCCACGATATGTGGCGGCAAGGACGGCTGATCCCCAGCTAAACTGTGCAGAAGGCGCTATATTACCTTCAGTAATTTGGCGAGCAAGGGGGATTAGCCTGGCGTCCACAGTGTTCCCGTGCGAGCCGGTGAACATGACCCAACCAAACAGCCAAAGTAGATAAGCCTCAAGGTACAACGTCAGTTGGTACTCCTGGACATCGTCGGGCATATATCGCACCTAACAAAAAAACAATGTGTTGTCAGATATGTGAATGTGAACGAAATATGCCTTAATTAAAAATATTCAATTACCTCAAACTGTGACAACCACTTCAATGTGGGGCCATGAGTTTCTTTTTCAGAGAAAAATATTTTGTCCTCATCATCGTCTGTATCACCGGTAGCGTACCGTGGCAAAATACAGGCATACCGTGATACAATATCATCTCTCCAATCTTCCGGAGGGTCCGGAAGTACAATTGCCTGGCTGGCTAGTGGCAGCCCTGTGAGCATGGACACATCCTGCAAAGTTATGGTCATTTCTCCGCACGGTAGATGGAATGTATGTGTCTCTGGCCTCCACCTATCAACCATTGCCATAAGTAGGGACTTGTCGATATTTTGTCATCGTTTGCTATGTGCCCCCATTTGTTTTTGTTTAGGTTCTCTAGCGTCGTAATGCATCCTTGCCTGCATTATCTGAACGAAGGTAAGAAGATCTGCAGCTGACAACCTATGAGGAAATTTATTAGTCACATTAGGCAATGTTATAGTACGATATCATGATGTTGCAAACTTTAACCATTTATGCACCTCGGCTTCCATCGTGGATCAATCCCCCACCATCCGGCTGTACGCGGTATCAGGACAGCTAGACTAGAGCAAGAATTTCCATCAGATATCTTCTTTGCACGATGTCGTGCATCGATCTCTTTGCTAAGCAACGGGTAAGGCCACTCATCTTCCATATCTGCATGTACATCCTGAAGGGTAAACTAGAAATTTCATCAAGTGCACATACGAAAAAGTACATAATGCATTAAATTAAGGAAACAAATTTTCTCATAGTACAAGTACAAACTCGACCAGTATCATTGAAATAAATAGTACAACAATAGGTTTACAAACGTTACAAACTTGGTAACACCTTACAATAAAATATTACAACATTACCATAATAAAATAAATATTACACATGCTTATTGACTAACATATTATAAACTTATTGAAATACAACGTCATGCAGCAAACATATCATGACCGAACATAAATAACCGGACAGTGTAGATTATAACTACTGCAGGTTTCCTTCCTCCCTATCGTGAGCACCCTGAGAGCCCCTTCTATTCTTCCTCGCACGTTGTTGCCTAGGTTCCATGCTTGAAGATGCACCCTCCTTGTTATTCTTGCAATCTCTAGTGCGGTGCCCGTACTGAAGACAGTCCTCACATCGCCTCACAGGCCCTCCCACTTCGGATGCATCCATATCATTTCTTAAGCACCGTGTTTGTTTTCTACCCTTACCAGCCTTCAACAAATTCAAGTCTGGCACATAGATCCTTTTATCACCCCCAGTTTCGCCTAGGTGTTGGAGGGACCTCCACCCGAGGATCTCAGCACTCCATGCATTCAGAACTCTATCCTTTAGGTAGAACGTCGACACGTATGATGTTGAATCAAGCTTAATTTTATCGCATGTGGCTAGGACATGGCTACATGGCTTATGAAGAAGCTTTGGCTTATTGCAAGAGCACGAACATGTGTTATCAGATTCGTGCCCTAGAGTAACTTCATGAGTGATGACCCCAGTAGAAGATCCAAAACCCCCCTTAGTGCGACATGTGACTTCCCACCTTCGTCTGACGTTCCCAGTGGTAATGACCGTGTGAAATCTTGCCTTGTTAGCCTTCTCTTGGAGGTACTCTGCCATCTTTTTGCAGAAAGGTGTTTGTGCGTTAGACATTTGTTGCAACGCCGCGGCCCGCCTCGTCTTCATCCACATCGTTGTCCTATGCATAATGCCTTCAACAATAGCAGTCAGAGGTAAAGGCCTTAATTTGCGAAGAACCGCATTGTACGCCTCTGCAAGATTAGTGGTCATTATGCCATGCCTAGCCCCATTAGTGTCATGCAGGAGTGCCCACTTATCATTCGGCTCGCACTCAATCCAATGGGTAAAACATTTGATATTCTTTGATGACCTACACTTCTTTCCATTTGATGGAATAAGATCATCCATTGGTTCCAGGGCCTGGGGGACATGTACATCCTGCGGGTTGTTGTTGGTCTGCTTTGACCGGATATGTGTCCTTGTCGCCTGGTCAAGTTGTTTCCAAAGCTCATCGAACTTTGTAGACTGATTTGCCTTGCACAACTGCTTGAACATGTTCATCAGCCGCCGGCTGTTGAATTGTTTGAAAAAATTGGCTCCCATGTGCCGCATGCACCAACGGCTGTGCATGTCAAGCTAGTAGTATGCACCATCACCATCCTCCTGGAGCTCTTTGATTGCCTTCAACAGACCGGCATTCCGGTTATGGATGATGCATATCGATGTGCGTTTTTGCACCACTCCCCACTTTAGAAGTTGCAAGAACCACAACCAGCTTTCATAGTTCTCGCTTTCAACAAAAGCAAAAGCTACTAGAATTATCTGGTTGTTCGCATCCGCACCAACAGCTGTTGATATCTGGCCTCGGTACTTCCCATTTAGGAAAGTACCGTCGACACACAGCACCAGCCTCGAGCACTGGAACACATGAATGCATGCTCCGAATGCAAAGAATGCCCGTTGCATCACAAGATAATTTGGAGGACGAATTGACTCCCGATCCTGGACAGCAACATTGGTCCCAGGGTTCCTGCTCTTTAGAATGTTAAGCATCTGTGGCAGAGTGTCATATGCTTCCTCAAATGTCCCATATCTTTTCTCCATGGCCTTCTGCTTCGCTCTCCAAGCCTTGTGGTAACTAATTGTGTATTGTTCACCTTTCTCCACCAGTTTTATTATGTGCTGCACAGGCAGGTCATCACCTTCAATAATTTCATTGTAGTACTTGTTCGCGACGTATGCCGCGATCAGGTTGCGGTGCGACTCCCTAGTGTCCCGAATCAGACAGGAGTGTTCCTGCAGTTTGGACACAATCCGGTAAGACTCGTACTTTGGCACGTGACCATGAAGACGGAAGGTGCAACCTTCCGTCTCACAGACGACCATGTACTTAGTCTTGTTAGACTTCACAACCCTGAACTGCCTTTGCATCTGGAATGACCATGACTACACTGCGTCTTGCAACCCCGTTTTGTCACGGAACATTGCACCCAGATTGATTTGGCCATTCCCGTAGAACCATATTGAATCATGACAAGAGTTTTCTGCAATATAACCAGGGTCTTCAAGGTTCAACGAAGCAGGCATAGGTACTTCCTCAACTTCTTGTTCATCTTCGTCATCATTCTCTTTAGCAGCGAGGTTTTCCTCATCTTCGACTGCATGTCGGTCCACCCTCTCAATTTCTTCAACTATAGCAGGTATGTCCTCCCCTTCATCGGCTTCATCAGTATGATGGCGGTTGACCACTTCATCTCCTTGTATGGATAGATTTTGAATGTCAGGACCAACATCGCCACCACGATGGGGAGCTACAACTTCATCTTCTTCGTGTGAACTAGACCCCAACTCCTCACAGTTGCTGGATTGCCCCGCTGCGTTCTTCGTGGGGACTCTTCCTTGACATGCTTGCACCAGCATGACATATTCATATCCCTGTCTCCTACAGCCAGCGAGCCAATCCTACCAGCCTTACTCCGTGTCACATTTTTTAACTCCCATCTTATGTTGTTGGCCGATCGGCTCCACATAACCCTCACGTTAACACTATATATACCCGGATCTAAAGAAAATGTGCATGTTAGCCAGTACCAAACTTCGGGCATGGTAAGAGTGTCAGGATTTGGATGGTATAGTGTGCATCGCCTAAAGTTGCTCAGATCGACACCACTTTCATTTTCCATAATTTCACCTTCACCGAAGTACACTCTAAATGCCGACATTCCTGCCATTGCAGACAACACGGACTAGTCCGTAAGGAAGTCTTACAGAACAAACGTGTCCTATTCGCGACCAAAATTCGTTTACACGCATACTATTTTTTTTGTTAAAAAATTCTTTATCAATAACTACTTATTTATATTTCCATATTATTTATAAATAAAATCATGTACTTGTAATAAAAAATTTACAAATAAATAATTACGTAAACATAAATTATTTACTTACGAATACATGACAATGCAATTCATTATTTATAATTTTACTACAACTTACATAAAAAATATACACATGACAATAAAATTAATACATATTAATTAATTAAAACACGTAATTAAACATAACTATGGCAGTTAATTTAAGTAAAAGAGTACGTAATACTTAAAACAACACAACCATACCATATCGTACATAAATATGATGACGAAATATTTACCTGCGTTTATGAGACACCGCCTACTCCTTTTTAACCAGCTTGCTCGTATAACAATTGCTGTCTCAAAGTTTAGTTCACTGCATAATCCATAAGTTTAACTAACAAATTAATTATACATATCAATTAATTTTAATACAACAAATGACTACTTGCACCGAAGAAACATTGACGGAAGCTAAGTTAAAAATCATTTTGGTTAGCTCTTTATATTCTTTATCTAAGACAATGACACTCATTGAGCTGCATCATGTTCTTTGCTACGGACTATTTGTACCTACTTAGATATGACCTCCGAAACAATACTACTATTGCAAATTTGGATGAGTACATTTAATATATTACTACTTTAACTATAAATTATCTAACGGACCGTAACTTTACTTAAATACAAAATATTTGTAATTATCAGTTAGTACAAAATTATCTATAAATTTATCATAACATGATAAATTAATAGAACTAAGTTTAACTTCACTTGATTAATTACATAATCAAATTAATCATAACTACCAATTTATTATAGTATAAAACTATTTGCAGCGACATAAATTTATTTAACTGCACTTTAATTACAATACCAAATAAATTACAAACTATCTATTAATTGCAAACTGTCTTCCATTATAGTACCATACCTTGTCTTGCCTTCTTCTTTTCAACCAATTTGCTCATATAAAAGTCCCAATTTCAAAGTTCTTCGTAGTACTGCATTTCTTTGTTCGTTGTAACAACCTACAATGTAAAGCTCGTGTTTAAGTACACCATATATTTCCCGCTACTTAACGAATATTTATACCTTTTCCATTTCTTACAAAATAAATAAATGCATGAACTACTAAGTAATTGTAACTTAAAATTACTACAAATTAATTACAACTTTAATTTAATTTTTGTACCACATTTAATAATTATTAATACTATTAATATCAATATCAATAACTACAAATATAACTATTAATATTTCAGTTTTTTTCATTTCTTACATATAATATTGGCCGTATATATAAAATTAAACATCACATGAACTGCTAATTAATTATAACTTATAATTACTACTACGTACAAATTAATTCTAACTTATATTATACTTATGTACCTTATAAATTAATTATGTCTACCTATTTTTTAACCCGAATCGACTCTATTAACTTTCTACATTTCTATTTTTACATACGACCTAACAGAATATAATGTAGCTGTACATACCTAAATTTTTCTCTGACATAATTAAAAACAAATATTAACTACGTGAACTAATATTTTCTAAATCCTCATCGTAGAATTTGTGCTAATAGAAAACTAATCAACTTACGTGTCTTTTTTTCCTTCTCTCCACTACCTGCACTGCCTCCTCTCTTCTCTTGCTCTTTCTCTCCTCAGTTCACTCCCTTATGTCTTCCTCTGTGAGGACCATCTCCTCTCCTCTCAATTTAACCCCGTGAGCGCATTGAATTCCAGCGCTAGCAGTTACAAATGGCCTGATAAGAGAATACACAGAGCTCTTCCACCTCTCCCTAAAAAGCTAAGGTAGATGGCTAGAACCCGTGCAAAAAGCAGTCTCGCGCATGCAAAGCGGTGGCGAAAAGCGGCGATGCTCTCGCGCATGTGGAGCGCGATACCGAGGGCGGTCTCGCGCGTGCGTACCGCGATACCGAGCCTGCTGCCGTGCCCTCGATGCACTTGCTCTCGCGCACGCAAAGCGCGACACCGCGCGGTCTCGCGCCCTCAAAGCGCGACAGCGCTGACCCACTGCGCTCCTCGCTCTCGCCTCGCTCTCGCGCACGCGTATAGCGACACCACGTTCGGTCTCGCGCTCCCAAAGCGCGACGCCGCGGGCCCACTGCCCTCCCCCAGTCTTTCTCTCTCGTGCGCATGCCGCGTCAGCAGTCTCGTGCGTGCAAAGCGCGATACCGCGTGCCCACGTCTTCCCCGTTGCGTCATAATCGGTCTCGCGGTTTCATATTACGATACCGGCCTCGGTCTCGCGCAACGAAAGTGCGAGAGCGATGGCTCCACCCGAGGTAGTCGTGGGGATTTCTCCACGTGGCGCTCTCGCTCGTGGGAAAAGTGATATCGCTGCGGTCTCGCTTCTCGCTTGCGCGAGAGCGCCAGCTCAACTTCGCTATCGCTTTGTCAGATCGCGATTTCGCCACGCTATCGCACTTTCAACGAGCGAACATCGGTATCGCTCTTCCAAAAAGCAATACCGATGGTTTATTTCCGCAAATCGTTCGCTATCCGGTATATTTTTGCACAATCAATCGATAAACGGTATAATTTCAAAAAAATTTCGTGTGTAATGCTAGAAAGTTTTACATTGTGAAACGGAGGGAGTAGTAAAAGGACCATATGTTAAAAGATTAAAATATAGAGCAAATCAGAATGCCTATTTGTCAAATTCTTGATTTCGTGTTAAATCTGGACAACTAGACTAGACTTGCTGCATCAGATATAAAAACTAACCGTCTCTCTTCCCGATCGAACCCTTTCTTACTCATGCCATCCTAAGCTTTCCTCCGTTGCCACCCCCCCTCTTTTGCTGCTACCACTGTTAGCCTCCTAACAATTCAAGTTTATCACTATTGGCCTTTCACCCTCCTGTGAGGCTACTATCTCTCTTTCCACTAGACCCAAAGTTTGTGTCATTGATACCATTGCGAAAATACCAGTCTATCATCGTGTCTTCATCTCTTGTAGCTGAGTGACACCTCACCGTTTGGTTTTCACCCTCCCATGACCTTCCTTCCTCCCACCGGACCCCAACCACTATGCCGTAATTTAGCGTGTTTTCCCGGTAATTGATAGTACTGTGAAAATACTACTCCTGATGAGTTTACATCCGTCGGTCTTTTTTCCTTGACTTGAGGATGAAATTGACTATCTAACCTTCAGATTTAAATTGAATTGGGGCAACTAATAGCAGAAAAGGGATCACCTTTTCTTTTTTTAATCTACTTATTCACTTGTGATTGTGATGATTAGCGAACAGAGTTGAGACAGCCCAAAAGCCCAATAATACCTTACCTGTGTACAAAGTGTACAACCCAAGCCCACTTCGTCGACCAGCCTCTGTCTTCTTCTTCTTCTTCTTCTGATCCTCCGATTCCAACCTCCGAGATCCCGATCCAGCCATGGCGGAGGCCGCCGCCGCCGCGTCCAACTCCACCCCCGCCTCGCCTCCTCCTCCGCCCGCCGCCGCCGCCGCGCTCGGCCTCCCCGACCTCTCCGTGCCCTACGATCTGGCGACGCGCGGGCAGTGGAAGTCGCTGCTCTCCCACCTCGACGACGCGTCGCACCCGCGGCACCGCCTCCTCCTCTCCGCGCTCTCCGCCCTCTCGCTCGCCAAGCTCCGCCGCTACGCGGACGCCGCGGCGCTCATCGCCTCGCTCCGCCCGGACCCGGGCTGCCCGCCGCCGCCCTTCCTCCTCCGCCTCCTCCACGCCCTGCTCCCGCTCTTCCTCCCCGCCGACCGCCCCCTCGCCCTCGACCGCCTCTACACCCTCCTCTCCTCCGTCCGCGCCCGCCCCGACGCCTCCCACCCGGAGTGGCGCCGCCGCGAGTCCCTCGTCACGTCCCTCCTCGCCGCCGACCACCTCGCCCACCGCGAGTTCGACGTCGCCCTCGCGCTCCTCGCGTCCGTCGCGGCGCTGGACCCGGGCAACCCGGCGGTCCTCTCCCGCCTCGGCTACGCCCACCTCCAGATCGGCAACCTCGCCGCTGCCGCGGCCGCGTTCCGCCACGTGGAGTCGGTGGCCGGCGGCGACCCGGCCCACGCCAGCCTCCTCGCCCGCAACCGCGCGCTGGAGTGCGTGGTGGCCAAGGACTACGCGGCGGCGGTGCGGGAGTACGAGCGGTGCATCGAGGCGGACGCCGCGGACGCGGTGGCCGTGAACAACAAGGCGCTGTGCCTCATGTACTCGCGCGACCTCGGCGACGCGATCAAGGTGCTCGAGGCGGCGCTGGAGGGCCACCCGACGGCGGCGTTGAACGAGACGGTGGTGGTGAACCTGTGCAGCATGTACGAGCTCGCCTTCGTCAACCACGCCGACGTCAAGCGCAGCCTCACCGACTGGATCGCCAGGGTCGCCCCCGACGACTTCGACCCCTCCTGCACTCGCATGTAGGGGAAATTGTTGGAATTCTGTTCTTCAAATTCGCTTGAATTTGTGTGAAAGATTTGCTGAAATTGGGATGTACAATTTGGGGGTTAGCAAACAATGGGTTTCAGTTGATTGTCCTACCTGGGATCAATAGCTTTCTGTTGTTGCTCAATTAATATCGATATATTACTCTTGTGAATTTCATTACTTAATGAAATTATCTATTATCTAAAAATGATGGAAAATTATCGAAAGCAAGTCGTCGATTTCCTTAGAATTGTTCTTTTTACACATGAACATAATAATAGACGATGCACATATTCAGATAATTTGAAGTGCAGAGAAGATAATAAACCAAGCCTTGAAACTAGTAGCAAAATTCAATGAAATTGTTTCTGGGTTGGAACTTGGAAGTGGAAGTAAAACAATATCCATAAGCTATTCTCTTCACAATAAGAAAAAAAATGTGAGGGGTTGATAACTGACAAGTGGCACAATTAGATATCAGGACAGATGCTGGGATGAAACCCTCCAGAGATAAATGCCATGAAAATCAGAAAACATTCTATCTGCCGCACGGATTCAGATTGGATGACATAGTATAGGCATGCCACAGTGTGACATAGCGTAGATCTCAGAGCAGGTTTAGTAGTACAGCCCACTACTTACTATAAGCCAATGTTAAAGCTAACATGTATAATAGGTTAGCTATAAGGTTGGCTTTATTTTTTCATCCTCTCTCTTTATCTCACTATGAATTTAATACCTATTTCTTGGAGCTTGTGTGGAGCTAGCTCTTGCATGAGAGTCAACACTCCCTACTTTTCTTTATCTCTCTCTTCCACATAAGTATATAGCTTGCTTAGCTCACCATTATCCTTGCTCTCAGCCCTCCAAACCAAATCCAACGGCTGAGATTCGTCCACGTCATCACGAGTTAAAATTTAACTCCAGTAAAATTTTAACTCCTGAAATTTTACTCCCAGTAAAATTTTTACTCCTATGAGTTAAATTAACTCGCGATGACGTGGATGAATCTCAGCCGTTGGATTTGGTTTGGAGGGCTGAGATCTACGCTGTCACCTTGTGACATGCCTATGCTATGTCACCCAATCTGAATCCCTGCCGCGCTACCCCCCTCTCTGAGTCACAAGAGCCATCTACTGCAGACCAGACGCAGGAACTCATTGGACCTTTTAATCTTTCAAGAATGACACTATTGTACATCTTCAATCTTCATGGGCTCGTTGTCTTGGTCGTTGATCTTCCTCGCCTTGCCCAGAGAAATACATGAGAAGAACAAGAACAGCAACCAGAAAGACGAGAATGTACACCGCATTCACACCAAGCAGGGTCGGGGATCGATCGCCCACTTTCTTCTTTATTGTTCTTCCTGCCCTGTATCCCTCAAGGAAACGGCTAATCTGGGACCCATAGTCACCTTCTTCAAGCCTTTCTGAACCCTCAACCTTGAACAAGAAGCATGCCAATTAGTCATGCGGAAAACTGAATAGATGAACAAGACGGGAATTTCAAGCTAGAGTAAGTAGTAAATATGAAGAGATCATTTCAAACAGAATGTGATGACAATATGAGAGTATGAGACATGAATTAAACTTAAGAAATGAAAATAGGCAAATTCTTTGGCATCTCATAAGAAAAAAACACAAGCGTTTGTTTTGAAAGAGGAATGTGAAAATTGATCTACTTACTATTTCATACTCCTCTTTTTTGTCCCAGACTATCATCGTTGGCAGCTCTGAGCTCTTAACATCAAAAGTCTCAGTGAATTCCTCCCACTGGTTGACTCCTACATAACCAAACACTAGATCACGGTTTGCACTGGCTGCAGACCTCAATACTTTTATCAGCCGTGGGGAATTTTCATCGGATTCATCATCCTGTAAAATCATAAGAACTACTTTCCTCCCATCATCATTCAACATCTTGACAGTCTCTCTGTTCATGGGCACAACTAAAGGCAGAAGGGAATTCCGTATAAAATCTTCCAAGAAGGCTCCTACATCAACAAATGCAGCAACAAATCATCAAGCTTGAAAAAAAGGATGTATTCCATGTGTCCACGTTTGTTAGTTTGTACAAAACGTGGTGTCTACACTATGTAAACTACATGTTTACATTACTAGATAAGTGGAGAACAAAAAGGAGGATCGAGCAGAATGAGACTGTTATTGAGGCTTTCCCTCAGAGTACATGAATAAAAAATGAGTAGTAAATGATTATAGCAAGCATACCATCATCAAAAGGGCCATAGAAAATGCTCTGCTCACGATACTTTGGGTTAACAGAAACCAATGCAGGGACCTTGTCGAAATCATAAAAGACCATCATATCTTCAGAGAAATCCTTTGCTACAGAAAACCAGGCCCTGTTCTTGTACTTCGCTCCATACTCAACAATCAAGGATTCATCCACCCCAAACCCGAGAAACAATGGAAAACCCATGCCAGCATCCTCAACGAAGCTTTTGATCGCTGAGTCCGATTCGAGAACAGAAACATCAGGCGCAACAAGCTTCTTAAGGTTCTCAACGAGCAAATCGGCCTTCCTTGAACCAGTGTACTCTGTTGGGGTTCCGTGGTCAAAGAGCATCAGAGTGGGGAACCCACTGCATTTAGAAATGCAGAAACATTAGGCATCTCAATCTTTTCAGTGTTCAGTGAACCACACATCTCTATTTAAGGTGGTGCCTTACTCTACTCCATATTTTGATCCGAGCTTTTTGTATTTGTCGGCATTCACCTTAGCAACTACGATGGGTGTGCTCAATCCAGCCAGCACCGGAGCAGCTTCATCTAACTGCAACACAAGCAACGGCTCACCTATCCACCATTTCATAAAGAGGCAAAGACATCCACACACAGATGAACAAAGCATAATAAAAATCGCGCTCAATCCATTAGGTGGCAAAACTCTAGAGTCACCACAAGTAGAGTGGAGTTGAATTTTTCTCTTCCGTTTTGAGATGTCTGCGATGACACCCAAGTCATCTGAATTCAAAATGGCAGTGTCAACCTGCACACCTTTGAATCACTCGCTCGCTGCTTAAAAACAAAAACAAAAATCCTCAAATCCCCCAGCCGATTTGCCTACTTGATCGTGAGTAGCACCACCAACACTGCAGTTGCTAACAAGGGAAACGGAGCCTGACGGGGGCCATGGTGCAGCGCGAGCATAGCAGTTCACCGGCGGCGGTCGCAGCAAAGCTATATAGTATGGCAGGGGCCAGGGGGATGGGTCGGTGGAGGAGGTAGAGGGCAGGGGTACCTGAGGGGCGAGGCGCTTGCAGTGGCCGCACCATGGCGCGTAGAAGTCGACGAAGAGGAGGCCGGCGGCGCGAACCGCCGCGTCGAAGTTGCCGTCGTCCAGCTCCAGCACCCTCCCGTCCCGGGGGATCTGGAACTCCTCCGCCTCCCCTCCGCCGCCCGCGTCCGCCCCGCAAGTCGTCGCCGGCAGCACGACGACGAGGAGGAGGAGGACGACGACGACAACGACGGGTGGCAGCGTCGGCTTGCCCATCGCCGGCGACGGGGGCTCGCCGCTCTCCTCACTTCGGCTTCGGTTCGATTCGATCTCTTTTCGCACCGGTCGTGTGCGATCTGTATGTAGTCTTGATGTTTCTCACTGCACTTTGACCCAAGATATATGTGTGTTTTTGCCCCCCCCCCCCCCCCCTTTTTTTTTTCTATAACACCACTGTCTCGGAAAAAAAAATAAAATTCTGTACGTGAATCTAAACATATCCTATATTGGAATATACGTATATGAAAGTTAAATTTATTTTACAAAGAAGGGATTACACGATGTTTAAAATCCTAGCACGAAATAATTCGGTTTTTACTATATTTATTATCATTACACACTAGTACTTCAACTATTTGTATTCAAATTTTGACCATCATCCATTAGTAAGTTCACAAATATTCCAAATAATACACCCTCCATGGCTCCGTCCTACTCACTAAGATGGGTACGCATAAACTCTTTAAATAGTTGATCAATAATTATTTCATTATGAATTAAATTTTATTTGATGAAAATAATAAATTTAGATTATTATTTAAATTTACTTTTATGTGATTATGATTTTGTTGTTACAAACATTATAGTATATAAGAAATTTAAAGTAAAAAAATAGTTTTCAAAACTGTACCTAATTTAACCATGCTTAAGTGGGGACGGATAGAGTAAGTTGTAATCAACAAACGAGATGGTTGTGGTAAACCTTAGCTTAGTCAACCACTTCAATGTCAATCGGAACCTTACCTTACCAATTGGATCGTCAGAGTCGCTCCCAATGACCTCGACTACTCCGCACTCGCGTAGACGCATGTAGGAAGAGCCTTAAACTGACCACTACTAAAGTATTTTTGGAAATACTAGCTAATGCTCGTGCTTTGATACGGATAAAAGGAAAATATCACACTTTTTTATAAAATAAATAAATTATATTTTCCATGCAATATATTACCCACATTTTCCTAAAATGTGGCTATCCACGTTAATTTTATATGTGGATATCCATTTAGATTTAAGATTTATTAGTTATTAATATTTAAGAAGTTAAAGGGTGATACATAGAAATAGAAAATGGGAGTAGGTGGGTTGGCAGATTCACTACTACCGCTGTTGGAGTCTTTTTAAAGGAGCAACGCAGATACTTGGACTGGAGAAGAAACCGACAAGATTGCTCAACACGGATAATAGCTCTTTGTGCCGTAGTCGATGTTGAGATGATAGGCATATAATGATTTAATATATTCCATAAATAAATCATGACATTGCAGATGTATACTAGCATTAATGCATCATTAGATCTACACATATAAACTAAGCAGTAAAACATGAACAGATCAAATATGCGCAACATATTGAACATGTACCGAGGTTGAGGAACAACCAGTTGCTCGGCAGGAATCACTCACGGTTGCGGACATCGACAAAGGCGCGCAGCACGCGAGCGAAGAGGAAGACGAGCCGTCGCGAACGAACAGGGAGCAGTCGTGCGAACCGCTTCCCAAAAACCTTATTACCGCCTTCTTCTTGTGCATGACGTCGAAGGCACAGGTTCCGAAGATCTGCTCTCCCGATCGCCGGTGCACGCCGGCGAACGGGATGGAGTAGTCTACGAGCGACGGCGCAGCACAGAGTAGGAGGCAAACCCTAGATTGATTTCGCGTGTGTTGCGTGAAGGCGACGACTCGGTTTATATAGAGATAGGTCGCTTGATCAAGGCGCCCGCACGATCTTCACTCCGCATAACCGAACCGAATAAGTCGCGCGTAACTTATCTGGACTCCACGCCATTTTCATGCACCGGATTTTCCGGAATGTTTCCAAAACAAAACAAATCTGAATTTCCCATAGGAAAACAAAACTGCAAAAGGAGGCTGCATCTACGCAAGGGCGAGGAGCCAATTTTGCGGACTATTGACACGTACGTCGTGCACGTGCGCCGCCTGCCATGCCAGGCCAGGCTAGCGAGCGCGCGCATGTGTTCCCTCTCTTCTCTCCACCACACATGTTTCAAGTGGCTAGGAGGGCATCCTCCCTTTAAGGAAGTCCCCCTCTCCTAGAAAAAGCAAGGTGGTACTAAACTCCCCATGCATGCCATCCCATGAGGTAGGCTTTTTTGATTTTCCAAAGAATTAATCTTTGAGTGGGCCTTAGCCCATCCATTAATTTCAACAATCCCCCACCAAATCTCAAAATCCCACTGAGATTTGCCTTTTCCAATGTACTGTTTATATACCAGTGGTTCGATGGAGACCGATTAAGATTGAACATCCACCTAGAACTCCAAGCTACACTTACTCACAACTTGAACAATGGACTACGCCTTGAATTGCAAGTCTTGTGCAAGCAAGTTTCACTCAGAGTCTTATCTGGTACTAGACCGTCTGTAGACTACCCCTTGGGTGGAGCGTATAAGTCATACTCCCAGGTCTTTAGTAAGCTTCTGTCACACCCCGAAGTTTTCCTCCCAAGCCAAAATTGTAATTTATAAATGACCCTAAGAAAATACCGGTGCAAATCAGGAGAAAACCCTAAGAAAGTAATGCAAATAATAATCGGATTTGACATGTGGAATTTTTTTTCTTGAGTTCTACATGTCGAAATTCATTAACAGGATTTTTAGTGGAATTTTCAGAGCTCTAGAAATAATTTTAACCAGTTAAAATTGAGCCAGCAATATTGTAATTCCAGGGAAAATCCTTTTTCCTTTTTCTTTTTCTTTTCCCTCCCTTTTTCCTCCTTTTTTTTCGAATGGGCCGCCGGCCCATTCTCCCCTTTCCTTCCCCCTCCCCCTTGCTGGGCCGGCCGCAGGCCGAGGCCCAGCCAGGCTGCCCGCCTCCCTCCTCTCCCGGGGTCGCCGACAGGTGGGGCCCACCTGTCGGGTCTTTCCCCTTCCTCCGGCCGACGCCGCGCCCGCAACCGCCGCACCCGAAACCGCCGCCGCGTCCACGTCTCCGCCTCCTCCGGGCCACGTCGGCCACGCCCGCGCGTGCGCCGCGTCTCCCGCGCCCACTCTCCTCTCTCTCCCGCTCGCATCCGCGCCCGAGATGGCCGGGATTCGATTTTCGAATCCCGCCTCTCTCTCTTCCCCCACTCCCCCACGTCGGCCGGCGATTCCCGCCTCTCCCGGCCACGTCCGGTCCTCTCACCCCCTATTTAAGCATCGCCGTCGTCCCCTCTCACTTTTTCCCCATTCCGCCGTACTCTCTCGAGCCTCCCATCGCTCTCGCGCCGTGCGCCCATCCGCAGCCGCCGTTTCCGCTACTCCGGCCGCCGCTAGCCGCCGTTAGGGTCGCCGCCAGGCCGCGCCATCGCCGCCGTCGGGTTCGCGTGGCCGGGATCCACCCCGTCCACCTCTCCTCCGTCGAGGTTCGTTGCCGGAGCCCTCGTTCCCTCGCACTCGGGTGAGCACCACCTCTACCGCCGCCTTCGGCCATGGCTTCCGGTCGCCGTGGCTCATCTCCCTCTCTCTAATCCCTCTCTCCTCCTTCCTTAGGGCACCCCGAAGCTCGTCCGCTCGCCGACGTCGTCCTCCCGTGGCTTGCCGTCACCGTTCGCCATCGTCTTCCTCCGCGCCGGCCACCCTCGGTGAGGCATCCCCTCCCCTCTTTTCCCCTTCCTCTCCTCTTAGTGCCGCGCCGCCGCTTCAAGTCGCGCGCTGTCGCCTTCGACCGCCGCCGCCTCGCGTGCCGCCGGTCGCTGCCGTCGTCGGTCGCATGCGTCGCCGGCAACGCGTTCGCGCGCGCGTCATCGCCGTCGCCGCGGTCGGTCGGCCGGCCTTGAGCCAAGCCGAGCCCCGTGCCGCCGCCCTTTCTTTCCCTCTCCCGGGTCGCTGACCAGTGGGCCCCGCATGTCGGCGCCGCTCCTCCCCGGTCCGTGGACCCGATCCGCCGTGGACCGCCCTCTCCCGGGTCACTGACCGGTGGGCCCCGCATGTCGGCGCCGCACTCCCTCCGTGCTGACGTCAGCCCTGGAATATATTGCGCAATAAATAGTTTAAGGTTTTTCTTGTATAGTTTTAAACACAGTAAATCTTCTAAAAATCATAACTAATTCATCCGAGCTCCGTTTAAGCCCATTCAAGTCTCAGTAAATCAAGAAAACTGTGCCGAATCCATTAAAAATGGTTTTGTTCCCTGTTTCAGTAGTCTTATAGCCTGTTTGCAATGTTTGCTTTGTATGTCGCTAGATTCCGTTTCCTCCGACGCTCCGGTGTACTTCGAGATAGTCGCCGAGGTTCCTCCAGCAGCAGAGCAAGGCAAGTCATGCTTGTCACTTGAACATGTTGATCCTATATTGCAAATGCTCTATTGTTTTCTTTTAAATATTGCATTGTTTTATAATATTACTATGGGATGGCTACCTATTGTTACAGCCATGCTTTTCGGATACCATGCTCCTTTGTTAGCTTGGGGTTATAACATGATTAGAGTTTGGACTAGGAATTGCTTAGCCATGCTTAGTTCAACTAGTTCACAACGGGGAAAATCATATTAATGTTTAGACTGTTGGTTCCAATGGTGTTGTTGGATTAGTGACACCGTTTTGGTGTTGGTTAATTAAAATAAACCACATGGTGGGCTGTGGGTGCATGGTTTTGCTGGTCGCACCCATGGCAGTTAAGGACCGGTTCGCGGGATGCACTGGAAGAACTTATCGTACTTACCACAAGCCAGCGTGGGCAACGGCTGGACTTGTAGTGTATCTTTCCTCTAGTCGACGCATCCAGGCAAGGGTGGGCGTGATGGAGCGGGGCGGGCCCTGCGACGGCCTCTGTCGCTTCCGGATTCACCTAGGCACGAGAGGGGACTGCCCGTTGCCCGCTGGGGACGGGGGTGAAACCTGAGGTGTGGTGTGCTTGGCTAGAGGGGGTTATGCGAAGGGTCCTGTCACGGCCTCTTTCCGGTATGTCGTGGTGGCATGTCGGCGCACGGTAACGTGTCGTGGGGCTGTGTCTTGTGGGTACAGTTGTACACCTCTGATCAGAGTAAAACTATTCGAATAGCCGTGCCCGCGGTTATGGGCGGTCAACCAGATTCACCGTGATTAGTCTCACCTTAGTGTAATCTTTTAATTTGGATAGTTTAGGTGGATGGTTGGGCCT